AAACTGGATACACACAGACACCGCTGACCCCTCAGGTCTATGTTCTGTCCCCGCTGGCCTTGTATGAATCTGTCTTCCTGACACCATTTTCATTTCAGTCACAAGCCTCTGTCCCTGTTGTGTCCACTCCAGGTTGTCCCTCTCTCCTGTGCCCTCATCTCTGCTTCAACCACACTGTCCTCAGCTCGTTCCTCATATGGGTCCTGCTCCTCCCACCAGAAGTCTTCTCCACTCCCAGGCTGTTCTCTGTCAGCATAGGTCTCTCCTTTGTTGTTCTTCTGCTCCAGATCTCAGCTTACCCAGCACCTCCTTAGGGAAGCACTTCTTCGTTCTGTTGCTAGGTCAAATCCCTGTATTATCAGGGCTCAGAGCTTATACTATTCACCAGCATTTAGCACAGTTGTCATTTTACATGAACTAGTGTGACAATTCAACAGAAACCTCTCCCACTCTAGACTGTAAACCTCACATCAGAGGGACTGTGGATGTTCTTTATTCCCCATGTTATTCCCAGCACCAACTGCAGTTCTGGGCACCAGTGGACAGTCTTTAGGGAATGGATGACTCATGGAAGACCATCCAGGCTCCCACTTAGACCATCCCAGAGGTCTGGTCACATCTGCTGGGACCTTCCATCCCTTTGTCTCCTGGGATCAGGTAGGTCCTGAGACGGATGAGAAATCCTTATCACAGGCTTATGTAACTGGATCTGAAGCCTTTCTGCAGGGCTGCCACTTCCTATCTTCCCATCAGCTTCCTCGAGGTGTCTCTTTCTTCAGTCTCCTTCCCTCCAGCCCCCAATGGATTTGAAGTCTCCCACATGGGAAACCTAATCACTGACAGAATGATCAGAAAAAGAATATCAAAAACTGTTTTAAAAGATGATGGAGAAGGAAACAAAATGGCTTCTCTATTACATTAGGGAGGGTTTTCCCAAGGCACGAGTATCTCTTGGATAAATTAGTGGCCCTGAGGCCTGATACCCCGAACTGTATCGTGGATGTCCACTTCCATGTATCGCTGGGCAACGCCAGAGACACAGAGCTGAGGTCACTTGTTCCTGTGCCCCAGTTTCCTCCAGCCCACATCCTGACTGTGGTGCAGGAGGCTGTGCAGAGCTCTGTCCTGCTCTCCCTCCATTGCCATGAGAAAGGCTGTGACAGCCTTTCTCCATTTACAGAGAGAGAGGCCATGTGTTAGTCTTTGAAGAATCATGAGAGTCTTTCATGATAGAAATAATCAAATACACGATCACCTATGATGGCGCAAGGATAGACCTAAGTCCGAGTTTTGCCTGAATAATTCATATCAATGCCTTAAAGACTAATGCAGTTTCATCTCCTTAGGCAGTGAAGAGCAAAAATAGACTACTTATTTCAAAGAATTGAACCTTAAAAAGACTGGAGTTAGAACATTTTCTGTAGGGACAGCATCTCTTCCCACTCATTTCAGAAAACCATATTTGACAATGCTGTGATGTACTGATGAACCCTGGAAGAACAGCACCTTCAGCATTGTAATAATACTGCTACTTGAATTAAAAATAAAAGATGAGCATTTCTAGAGCCTGTGAAAACATAAAAATGTAACTTATTTTTATTGAGTTTGGAAATGCAGGCACTGGAGGGTGCTCATTTACCTTCCTTTTCAAATAGTGAATTATTCAAAGCTTAGTCTAGAATGAGAGGTCAGATCCTTCACTCCCTCATGGTGTCAGGCTTTCATGGGTAGAAGCCATGTTAATTCATAGTCAGGACAAACTGAAATCAACATTGAATGTGTCGACCTCCCTGCTCACCCACCTCGCCAGGCAGGGGCCAGTCATGGGCACCAGGATCTTGTGCTGTTTTACACTTGGCTTATTCAAAGAAAATGGGCATTTATAACAGGGCCTTTGTGGATATTGCCCATTGAGACACCAAAAATTCTGCAACCTGTATAAGTGTCTGAATTGAAAGCTCTCGTATGATTAAGCTATGTTTTATAATTTGAAAATAAATTAACAGTGTATAAAAAAAAATGTTAAATGTTTAATTATCCTCTCCCCTGTCCAAACACACTCCTATCCAATCTCGCCTTTAGTTAGTCATCAATATTAACACTTTGGTATATTTCTTCCCACCCCTCTTCTCTACACTCATGCAAACCTGTCTACCCAAATACACCTACAAAAGTGGGGCCCCTATACACATTAACTGCCACATGCATACTTTTTCTCACAATCTACTTTAACATTTTTTTTTAAGATTGCTATGTTTAGACCTAAGTTGCTGCTAGTAGCTGCCTCTTATTACACGATGGGGGTAGACAGGTACATTAATGCTCTGCCATCATTGTCTTATACCCTGCCTGACTAATACCTAAGTGCTGCCAGATCTTTCCTAAAGTGACTGAATGGCCCCTTTGTGCTCCCAAGTTCTCTTCACCCAACACCTAGTTGATGAGGCCAGTTCTTCCAACTCTTACAGTCCTAGAGGTCTGAGAGCTGCAACCGTACTTCCTTACATGAGGAGACAGGCAGGGAGGAGTGGATGGACGTTTATTACACCCACCAGACTATACAGTATCTCAGGTAGTCCTCATAAAACATTGTGAGGGGTGTTCACTCTGTTTTACAGACCAGAAGGCTGAGGTTCAGAGTGTTAATGGGCTGGGCATGGGTCTGAGAGCTAATAAATGGTGCAGCCATATTTCAAAGTTCAGTCTGTTTGCACTTATGTGGGAGGATATAGGAGCCACAAGGTCACTGGAGGTTGAGGAAGGGGAGGTTTAGAACCATTTGGTGTTGTCGGTCTTCAGGTCAGATACCAGGGGTGGGAGGGTCCATGTGTGTCCTACACCACTGGAGGTAAACACATCACGACATTGACAGTGGAGAAGTGCTGGAGAGCGTTGATCAGTGGCCTGGCCCCAGAAGACCTGAACTTTGAGAAAATTATTCCTATCACAAGATGCAGCAGAGACACGGATGTGGATGAACCAGGGAAGGGAGCTCTGTGAGAAGCTATTGTTAAAATGAGGGAGGGGGAGAGGCACCTAAGAGGTCGCTTCATGTATGTGAAATGTGGAGGAACACAGTGTTAACTCAAATCCAAGCTGGTTCTGATCAGTTTTGCTTTTTTAAGTGGTTGGAAGGTGGGATGATTTATTTCGAAGGTGAAGTTAACATCCATACTATTCCTTTTCCTTGTGAAGGCTGGTGAAGAAGAGAAATAGTGAGGCTGAAGGAGCCACAGGGTAATTGTTTAATGGGGCACGCTAATAAATCATTCAGTGTTCAAGGAGGCTCTCAGGGGCCAGAAATGGATCCATTTTCCTGCATAACCAAGT